AATCAAACATCACCCCCCCCCCACGCATTCTCTCTCTCTCTCTCTCTCTCTCTCTCTTTCTCTCTCTCTCTCTCTCTGTGTCTCTCTGTCTCTCTCTGTCTGCCTCTCTCTCTCTCTCGCTCTCTCTCTCTCTCTATCTCTTTCTCTCTCTCCTCTCTCTACATGGCGCGCTTCCATTTACCTTCCAGATCGACAGAAAGACGGTCATCGTAGAGTATAGGGATGTCGCCCCATGTCGGTGTATGTTCCCACCATGTGATGTTGGCATCCGGGACGCTGTCGGGAGACTAAGACGAAATGCCATTGTGAATGGAAGAGAACAGTGGTCTTTTCCAACTTAAAAAGAGGAGAACAGTGGTCTTTTCCAACGTTAAATAGAAAAGAACAGGGGTCTTTTCCAACTTAAAAAGAGGAGAACAGTGGTCTTTTCCAATGATACGTGAAAGAAAACTGCGGCCTTTTCCAATAATAAACGGGAGAGAATGGTGGCCTTTTCCATAATATTTGATAATAAATAAATGGAAGAGACTGTCTTTCCCAGTGATAAATTATTGAAGAAAACACTGGCCGTATCCAATGATACCGGAAGAAAACAGTAGCTTTTTCCAATGATAAAGAGAAGAGAATAGTGGCCTTTTCCAATAATGAATTGAGGAGAACAATGACCTTTTTTAATGTTAATGGGAGAGAACAGCATCCTAAATGATAATCCCGACTGCACAAAACAATGATGATTCAAACTCCCGCATAGTCACTCAGAGGTGGGAGAAAATAGACTACAATGACAAGGACGTAGAGACAACAACAACAACAACAACAACAAAACCAAGAAGAAGACCAACAACAAGAACAACAAGAACAACAACAACAACAACAACAACAACAATGACGACGACGACGCCGCAGCCAGTCAAATTCAATACAAACTGTACCACAGAGGCTGGCCCCAAACTTTATGAGATGACGATTTATCTTAGACAGAGCTTCTGCCGTCATGTAATGAAGGAACGTAATCACATTAAACATTTAAACTTCATCCTCTGGGCTCCAGAATCTTTCTTCTGCCTTTCAATTTCTACTCCTTGGATCCTTATTACTACTGTCTTTCAACCACACCCCTGATCTTAGTGTAGGTAAGATCTAACAGAAAACTTTGCCTTCTTAGATAAAGGCTAAAAAATCTCGGAGGATCGGTGTGCACGCTGCGCACGTTTAAGATCAGTTGGTGGTCCTAAAATCTATAAGAGTAGCCATCGGCCGCTACCCGGGCAAAACTCAAAATTAATTCCTACCGAACTGAAAATGATTAAATAACGTGTCCCTTGTGCTCATATTATGCAGTTGAGAAAGCTGTTTAAAAAACTTTCTGAAAAAAAGAAGCCCAAAACAAACAGTTTAAGTAATTTCAGATAGCAGTCTCTACTTGATGAGTATTGTGCAGCAGGTTTTTTTTATTCGTGTGCTTTTTCCGCGCAATGTCCTTTTTCGCGAAAGTTTTGAAATCGCCAATTGGAGTGAACCAGTGTCGTGTATTTAAATGCAGTAGCGCCCCTTTTAGCATTTCGCGAACAGCCTGATTTCGTGAATTTCTTTAAAAATTGCGAAAATTGGGAATTCAAATCCCCTCGAAATCAAAACAAATAACAAACAACAGTATTGTAGTAATAAGAATAGCTCGTCCGTCAATGTCTGATGATGACCAATACATCCGAGGAGGAGAATATTTCTTCAGCGAAATAGAAACATTGTTGAGTTAAAGAGTACGACGGCGTGTGGCTTCTGCTGTGACTAATGAGGCCAATTCTGGCAGAAAAATCTTTGCCACATTTTGAACATTTAAAGGCTCCTCTTCAACTTGTGGATGTGAGCATCTTGAGGGCTCCTCTCTTGGCTTTAGCATATTTTTTTTATTCGTTACGCTTCATATAATTTGCTGCCTACTGTGCTTGATAGCTCTGCAGCTGGGTCTGTCAGGAGCTCGGCTGTCCCATATGGAAGTATTACATGGTCACTAAGGTAAGCCCGTTCTTGGAACAGGAGATGTCAAACCACGTTGAAATGACATGGGCACCGCCAAAAGTCTGCTTGTCAGTTTGACTGCATTCATTAATTAACTGCTTTCCTTAACGCCGTTTTAACGTAATTATTTTTTTTCTTTCACGAGGTTTGAAGGACCAATAATATGAGAGCTCACTTAGATAGCAAATTAAATGTCCTAACCTTACGAATTCAGTAGTACTTATGTTTATCGATTACATTCATTTCAGGGCCTTTGGTTTATAAAAAAAAACGGTAGGTGGGTACCCACTCACCTGGCAGAAGAGCTTGATATGTGATCCCAGCTCCACTTGGTGCTCAATTGCTGTTTTTGTCGGTGGAAAAGGGTCAAGCTTAGCCATTCGGAGGTTGAATTTGACTGAAGCAGCTCTGGTAGAGTATACAACCAAGTCTTTTTTGCATAATATTCAGAAATAGGACATGTTTAAAAAATTAAATGTAGGTGTTTTACGCATCCATCGACAGGATAGGGGCCTACCCTGACTGTCATCACCCATCCTGGCTGAAAGGGAAACAGAATCTCAGCAGAAAGACTGAAATGCTCAATAACAAAAATTCTCACCACACGAGAATTGAACTCAGGTCTTCAGCGAAGTGCCGAGCCACTAAACCACTAGCACTGGATCACAACAGTTTGTCCAGGGACACGGTAGACGACAATAGTGGCAATAGTAGCAGCGGCAAAAACATTAGCAGCATCAAGAGAAACAAGAAAAGTAAGCGAGACATAATACAAAAATCACGATCGCTTAAAAAGAAAAAAAACAACTTTTTTGTTCTCCATATTGTTTAGCTACGCTGAAAGTCAACCAAGAGAATAATTTCACAATAGTTGAAAAAGAGTTATTTTGAAGGTGAATGAAGTGTGAAAAGAATTGACAAAAATATGTGATAAACACATTCAACGTTCATGAAATCTTGTGAGTAAGACGAAGAGATGAAACAGACATAAATGTGAAAAGTCTACAAAATCATTAAAACAAACTAGAAACAAAGAAAAGGCAAAAAAATAATTAAGACTTAAAAGACTGAGAGGGTGGAAAGAGAAAGACACCTTGCTTGTGTGTGTGTATGAAAGTGTGTGTGTGTATTATGTGTGTCTGTCTGTGTTTGTGTGTGTGTGCGCGCGCGCGCGTGTGTGTGCGCGTGTGTGTGCATGTGTGTGCGTGTGTGTGCGTGTGTGTGCGTGTGTGTGCGTGTGTGTGCGTGTGTATTAACTCTTTCTAGGCAGGTGCCGAGAAGACTTAGTTCCTGTCTTTCTTTACACCTACACATTATCTTGGCAATTGGCTAAAAAAAGACAATACGCTGCACAGTAAAAGTTGCTTTTACCCTTCTTTTTTTTTTGGAATACTCACGAGCCAAAGTCATTAGAGGCAAAACACTGGTAGATGCCCTCGTCTTTATCCTCAGGGCTGTTGATGAGGAGAGTCCCCTTGTTCCGCAACATCACCACTCGCTTATCGTTGCCTTCTGGCGTGTAGTCCACACCAGCCCGCTGCCATGTGAAGCTGAGAGATCACACATTTTACAGTTACTTAAAAACAACAATTATAATAGTGCGGGAAAGAAATTCGTGGAGCTGGAAGATCGAACACTTTACAGTTAATTACGTTATGTAGCGTCGGTGGTCTAGTGGTTAGGCTCTCGGACTCGCAACCGTAAGGTCGTGGGTTCGAATCCCGTCAAGGGCCCGACGTTGTGTCCTTGGGAAAGGCACTTTACACGAATTTTCCTCACTTCACCCAGGTGGGAATGGGTACCCGGCTTTAGACAGCGAAAGATCTTGTCAGTTTGTTAGTGTTTGAGCGCTTAATCGGCTGCTTGCACTGTATGCTTCCCGGGAAGCTGAGAATGTTTCGGAGTCTTCTATGGTCTGCTGGGGTAATAATATAGTGTAAAGCGCATAGAGCCTGCTGCTGAGCGGGGATATGCGCTATACAAATGCTATCTATTATTATTATTATTAATTAAAAGCAACAACTATAATTGTGTGGTCAAAAATTCGTGGCTCAACTTTATCCTCAAATATCTGTTTAATGGGTGATTCAGTGTCACCCATGCTTTGCACAGCAGTTTGAGTCAGTTTGTCTTAACTGAATCATATTTTCCTATTACAATTGAGTTCAGATTTTAAAACTTTTCTGCACAAATATAAATAAAATACTATAAATCTCCGTCTCATGAAAAATGGGATTATTCACGGCGTTTCCCTCGTATCACAAACATTTTGCCCACGTCACAGCTCACTAATGACACTTTTTAGTGGTAAAACATGTTACAAAAAACTTTGGAGTGAACACTTTTTTGTACTAGATCTGGGTCTATAAAATTCTGTAAAGGTTCTCAAAACTTGCGTGCAATAAGCATAATGTCTCGATTAGAAAAAAATAACAGACTTGCCTTTAAAACTGATATTGTCCCAGCCGTAAACCTTTTAGAATCTGTAGAAACCACCCACTGGGATTTTCAATAATTAGTTATTGAGGAATTTTCTAGAATACCCGAACGTGTGTATTCGAAAATATTGATCTGGAGACATTACGTTCGATAGTTGAGGAAATATTTGACAATAAGTTGCACCTTGAATTTTTGACCATTTCAAAGGCAGGTATTTGGTTGTATCCTGCCAGGACATTGGGTTGAGGAAAAAAGTATTCATAAAGGAAAGTAATTCTAAACTCCGAACTTGAAAAAATATATTTCAAGAAGAAAGAACGAAACTTAAAGTGAAAAATATTCAAGCTGGAAAGATAAACTTTCAAACTATGGGCTCCTCTGTTTGTCGATCCAGTGTGCTGTGCAACTGCTAAAGAGCTATTGGTTGTATAAACAGGGATACAGTTACTATATAAAGGGGAGCATATATTCTGATTAATAATGACAATAATAATAATAATAATAATAATAATAATAATAATAATAATAATAATAATTATAAT